CCATTTGAACGAATAGAATGAGCCAATGATTCAGTGACTCTTTCAGAAAGACATTCACTTGCTTCGTTTCTGAACGAATCAGCCGTTGGAACACATCGAATGAGCCAATGATTCAGTGACTCGTTCAGAAAGACAGTCACCTGCTTCTTTTCTGTATGAATCAGCTATTTGAACGAATTGGTTAAATGAATGATTCAATGACTAATTAAGGCAGTGATTTGCTGAATCAAACTTCTTTCTAAAGCTACTTTTTGTAATGTCTATTCGATGCTTTTTCATTTAACACAATAATGTCTTTAAATGATCTTTTGGGGGTTAATTTCTCAACCTGAATTGATGTGCGATTACTGTGCGATCACATTGGCACATGCAATTAATTAAACATTTTAATCACCTGACAGCCCTACTTGACAGTAACAAAATGAAAAGCACCAGTGATTCTCAACATCTGCATGAAAATCAGCATATGGAGAAATGCAGTGATGACGAAGATTTCCACGGTGGATGAAGAAGTTCAAGGATTGAACGCCTGTTCAGGAGATCCGTTCGCATTAAACGATCAGCGATGGCCGGCTTTGACGACAGCAGTGCTGCTGAAGGCCAATTCTCCAGGAGCAGATCGGAGGAGCAGCAGAACAGCTGTGTTCGATTGTGCTGCGCTTTCACAGCTCCAGCATGCGTGTGACGTCTGTTCCAATCCCGGCGCTCCAGTAAAATCCCACAGCGTTCCTGAACCAGCGCTGGAATTCACACTCTTGCTCCGAGAGCAGGATCTGGAGAAGTTCATCCAGAAACCACACAAACCTCCACGAAGCTCCAGCGTCCGCAGGTGCACGTCATCTCGTCCAAAACACACCTGCTTTACTGCGGTGAAGTACTCCTGGAGCTCAGCACGCGCTTGCAGCCGCAAGGTCATGGGTTCGATTCCCAGGGAATGCATGAACTTATGAAATATATAACTTTAATGCAATGTAAGTGTCTTTGGATAAATGCATCTGCCAAATGCATAAATGTAAATGTTGTGCTCATGCAACGTGAAGATCGGGATATTTAAGTGAGTTTGTGGTGCTATAACACTAAATTTTTTTTTAAATAAATTAAACCTAATTAGTAATAAAAAAACTATTAAAATGACAAAACACATAAAAAATAAAACAAAAAATGTAAACGAAAATATAATATATTGAATTAGCTTTTATGAAGACGTCACTTGTATTTATATTTTCAGTTTTCATTTCAGATTTTTATTTTTTTTATTTTTTTATGTGTTTGTCATTTTTAAAATATTATTAATTAGGTTTAATTTATTTTTATTTCAGTTTTTAGCTTAGTTTTTATTTATTTTCAGTCAGTAATTTTAGTAAAAATTATAAAATTATAATTATTATAATTAAAATTAATAATTTAATTATTATTAAAAATTAATAAAATCTAGTATTTTATTTCAGCTTAGGTGTTACACTAAATTAAATCATCAAATCATCTACTATTTATTTTTTATTTCAGTTTACTTGTAATACTAATTTAAATTGTTAATTAAATTAAGATTTATATATATATATATATATTTTAAATTTCAGCCTAGATTTACATAATTTGCCATTTAGTCCTCCAAATCAAAACAGCAAGGATGATTTTACTACATTTATGCTTTTACATGTACATCATATTTATGTATTGGCAGACACTTTTATGTAAAGTGACTTTTTAGTATTTTAATATTATTTATAAAGTATTATAGTTTTGATTAATATTTTGAAATAGCTTTTTCTCATGTGTTTTTTATTATTTTTTTATTTTTTTTATTTTACTATTACCAATTAGGTTTAATTTATTTATATTTCAGTTTTAGTTTGAGCTTTTATTTATGTAGCAAAGAAGGATGATTTTTTTTCTTTATTCATGTATTTACATTACATTACATTTATACAGTGTGGATTAGAGTCAGAATTATTTATATACTATTATAGTTTTTAATAAATATTTTGAATTAGCTTTTATTTTGATACTTTCAGTTGTCGTTTTAATTTTCCTTTTTTTCAGCAATGTTGTATGCATTTTTGTCATTTTTATTAATTTAAAAAATATATATTATTATTTAGGTTTAATTTATTATTTCAGTTTAAGTTCAATTTATTTCTAGTAAGTTATTTTTGTGCTTCAACTTAGTTGTTTTTCATCTAATATGTATTATATTTCAGCTTTATTATCATGCATTCCCTGGGAATTGTATCTACAATGTAGCACGAAAGCACAAACTGCCCAGAGAACATGAAAACACGTATCTGAGAAGAGAAACACGTCCTGCCGACGGCTTTGAACATCACAGAAGAGCGCGTGGTTCACAAACGCCCCACTCTCGGGAAGCTCACTAAATCAAAAGAAACGAGGCGTTCAGGAATATCTTCAGAAGCTCTCCTGAAACACCGTTCTGGCTTCATACTTTCAAATGCATCATCAGAGAGACAAAACCATGTGTGCAAATCACAAAACGCGGTCAGAGCAAAAACATGCACTGCATATGTCGGTAGTTTTGACATTACGGTAACACTTTACTTAAAGCCTTCATATATAATGCATTTATGAAAGTATTTTTGATGCATCAACGATGCACCCTATAATGCATTGTATGATCTCATAATTAATTATAAACAATTTAGTTATAATATATTAAAACTCTTCCATTTATTAATTGTTACGACCAAACATAAATCTCAAGTCAATCACGTTATCAAAAACATGACCAGAAAATTAATGCAAAAATCAGGGTTATTATATTATTAACTAAATCTAAAACCATAAAAAAACATATTTGCTTCTTGAAATAAACATGAAGTGAAATACAATAAAATAAAAAAAATAAAAAAATGTTTTTTTTCAGCTAGTTGCCAAGGCAACATTTCTCATTTTCATTTAGTTTAACTTGATGCACTAAATAACTAAAACTGAAATAAAAATGAATAAAAACTGCAGACATGTTTAACATGAAAAAAATATGAACTAGAAAAATTTTAAAAAATTACTAAAATATACTAAAATTACAATGAATACTAAACAGAAAAAAAACGAATTCAAAATATTAAATACATAATAATTTCTCAATGATACTAAAATAGCACTGGCCTTTGAGCTTCCCGTAAATGTATTGCAAAAATATGAAAAATAATAAAATATCTTCATTCAACTTTAAAATCCTTGCTCTATTTTTTTATCTTTATATATAGAATACAAGCCTAATATATAATGCATTATAAAAGTATTTTATTAACGATGCACCCCATGATGCATTGCAGGATCTCATAGTTAATTATAATCACAGTTCTAATACATTATGATTCTTATCTATTCATTATCACACCTTTAGATGGTAAATGCATTAAAGCACACGACTGATTTAAGATGCAACAAGGAACCTGCAAATATTATAATGCATCTGTGAAAAGATATAATGCATTACAACATGCATTATGAATAAAGGCTTAAAGCAGCGTGTTACTGATATTACTCGTTGAGCCGGGCTTCGTCTTGGGGTCGAGGAGAAAGACGAGGTTACAGGAACATCTGAGAGCCATCGACAGAGCAGCGAAGCTCACTTTGACCTGATAATGGTTTCCAGCATCGCTGATCTTCTAACAGAGAGAAACAATTACACTCCCGACACCAGCAGCAGCAGCTCTCTCTGATCGCCTTTGGATTTCAATAAAAGCCTTTACGGCTTTCTGCAAAAACCAGGGGGAAGCCGTAAATCTGACAAAAATACAGACAAACCGTGAAGCAACAACTTTCAGACACCACACTTCTGCGTACAGTTTTCATTTATATTTGGAATTTTATTTTATTTTTAGAATTTCTGTTTTCACTTTAATTTTAGTTACATTTTTAGTACTTGTCATTTATATTTAATTTTTTTATTTATAGATTTTTAACGTTCCTATACAGTTTTTATTCATTTGTATTTATTAGTTTTAGTTATTTTAGTACTTACAGTATAAAAAAAAAATGCATAGGTTTTGTGAATATTTTATTTATTTTTTTATAAAATAAAAAATTTCTTTTTATTTTTTAATTTTAATTTTAGTTAAGGTTTTAGTACTTTTGTTGTATTTTTTGTCATTTTTAATTATAGTTCTTAATTTTTTTCTATATCATTTTTATTTATTAGTTTTAATTGATTTAGTAGTTCAAGTCAAAAAAAACTTTTATTTTATTTTTATTAATGTTTTGACTTACATTACATTTATGCATTTGGCAGATGCTTTTATCCAAAGTGACTCTAGTATTATTTATATACTATTATAGTTTTTTATTAATATTGAATTAGCTGTTATTTTATATTTTTAGTATTCATTTCATTTTTTAATGTGTTCCTCATTTTTATAGTTTTTTTTTAAATATTACTAATTTGTTTTTAGTTTTAGTTATTTCCAGTTAGTGATTTTAATATGCATTTACATTACATTTAAACAATTTATTATTTCGAATGACCTTTTATTTGTATATTTTCATTTTCAATTTAATTTTAGTTTACTTTTTTAACATTTTTGTGTTTTTTCTCATTTTTAGTACTATTTTTTTATATTATTATTTAGGTTTAATTTAATTTTGCTTTAGTTATTTCCAGCTAGAAGTTTTAGTGCTTCAACTTTCATCTAATATTTATACTGATTTCAATGAACAAGTGTCTTTAACAGCTTTAGTGCAAAAGTTTACATAAACTTAAATGAAAAAAATAAGTTTTGTAACTTTAAGTACTTGCATCTTAAAACATTCTTAACCCAAGCATGACTTTTCTCTCTTTCTGTGATGACGTGCAGATCTGTGTGACTTTTCATTTTTGCCCACACAATGAACGTCAATGGGGTCCAAAACGACAACATTACACTTTCATTGCGTGGACGCAAAAACCCAGAGATCTTCCCACGGATATAAGGAAGTCACACAGGTTTGAACGACATGAGGGGAGTAAATGATTAATTTGTTTTCTGATGAAGTGTTTGTACCTTTATAGGGGTTCTTGGGGATCTGGCAGGTGTGTCCGCATCCGTTCGGACAGCATCTCTTCAGCTCCGTGCACTCGGCGTCTGTTTCACAGCTCTCCACGCAAGCTGCTGCGAATCCGCTCGCGCGCTCCGGCGCAGGACAGTCCCCCGGCTTCAGCATCTGAACGGAGCGCAGGAACTCGCAGCTCGTCAAACACTCGTAATGCTTCTTCGGGAACTGAGTCTGAAAGCAGAAGTCACTGATCTCAGGCCAGCTCTCACAGGTTTGCACAGCGGCGCGAGAGTTTCCGTACCTCACACAAGTCCTGACACTGGTTCTCCTTCAGGTCCCATGATGCCCTGCAAGGCTCCAGACACTGAATGCGAAAAAAAAAAGAAGAAACGCTCAATTAGGAAAAACAGAGAGATAAAAAGCTTTCCAAACTTCTAATAATTAAATAATAAAAAATAAAACAAATTAAATGAAAACAAATAAAAATAAAACACCTTATTAATAACTAAATAAATAAAAAAATAATAATAATCAAACACTTACTATTAAATAATTGAACAAATGTAAAATGAATCAAATAATTTTAAAATAAAAATGAATCCAAATAAAACACACTTCCTAATGATTAATTAAATCATAAACATTTAAAATGAGATAAATCATTATAAAAAAGCAATCAAAATAAAACACTGACTATTAATTACTTAAATCATAAAAATATCAAATTTAAAAAATATTTTTTAAATAAAAGAAAAAAATTAAACACTTACTAATGATGAATTAAATCATAAAAATATAAAATACAATAAAACAACAAAAAAAACAGTATTTATTTCTGTCTTAACGCTCTTACTCACGAGTTACAAAGTCAGAAAACGTCATAACCAAATTAAGCAAATGTTTCTTCATTTCATATTGGCAGAAAAATTAATATAATGTGAATATTCGTCCCAACTCCACTGGGCCGGCGTTTGGTCTCAAGTCTCAAGTCTACTTTATTTATAGAGCCCTTTCCGCTACAAAGTAGACCAAAGGACTGGACAGCAACACAACAAGACGAGAATAGTAAAAACAAAAATCAACAATAACAGAAAAACAATTAAAACAATTTACATCTTCCAAAAGTCAACAATTAAAAGCCATAGAAAACAAGTATGTTTTCACGCAAGATTTAAAAACATCAACTGAGGGTGCAGATCTGATGTCAGGTGGAAGGGTATTCCACAGTCTTGGGCCAGCAACCGAGAATGCACGAGTCCCCTTAGTTTTCAGGCTCACTCCCAAATAAAGTGCATTACAGTAGTCCAAACGGGAGGAGATAAATGCATGAATCACTCTCAAGGCCAGCAACAGACAAAAAGGATTTCATTTTTGCAATAGTCCTCAACTGAAAGAAACAACTTTTCACCACACATTTAATCTGATGATCAAACGTTAGAGCGGAGTCAAAAATTACACCCAGATTCCTTATTTGGGACTGCACATTTGTTTTACATGTACCTAAAACATAATTTATGTCACTGTCAACCTTATTTGGCCCAAAAATGATTACTTCAGATTTACTCGCATTTAGCAGTAGGCAATTTTGCTCTAACCAGCACTTCACCTCCTCAAGACATAATAACAAAGATGAACAAGAAGTTGATCCTCCAGGTCTAATAGGCAAATAAATCTGAATATCATCAGCATAAAGATAAGACATACTGTGTTTTTTAAAAATAAGGCCTAAAGGCAACAGAAATAGTGAAAACCGAATAGGCCCCAAAATGGAGCCCTGAGGTACTCCACAGTCAATAGAAACTGAGGAGGAAGAAAATTCCCCAACCCTAACTGAAAGGGATCGTCCCTTCAAATAAGAAGAAAACCATTTTAAAACAGTTCCTCTCAGACCCACAACATGCTCTAAACGTTTAATAAGGATATCATGATCTATTAGATCAAAAGCTGCACTAAGGTCGAGCATAATTAAAGCTCCTCGACTACCCGAGTCTGCAATGAGTAACAAATCATTGGAAACTTGCAATAAAGCTGATTCATTGTTGTGTCCTGCCCTAAAACCAGACTGAAAAGCATCTAGCACATCATTGTTAGCCAAAAAAAAAGAGCTCAGCTGAGATAAAACCACTTTCTCCAATATTTTTTAAATACAAGCTTTGAAATTGGCCGGTAATTCATGAAATCCAAAGGGTCCAGAGCAGACTTCTTGAGAAGGGGCTGAATGACTGCTTGCTTAAGACATGACGGAAAAAGACCTGTAGAAAGGCTACAGTTCACAATAGATGTAATACTTGGTCCAATAAAGTCAGCTGTCGCACCAAGCAAACCTGAAGGCAAAACATCCCCAACTGGTAGCTGGGCGTTTCAATTGAGCAATAATATGACTAATATCGGTAGATGAAACCAGATCAAATTCATCAAAACTGTTGACATTAGTAGTGTTGTCTGTTACCTTTCCATCCAAATCATAAAACCTGGACCTAGTGTTTTTGTTTTTCCAGAGAAAACACTTAAAAACTTCTCACAACTCTCTGATGGAGGTATTGTGACAGCATTTGGATTAAAAAACCTATTAATAGTTTGAAACAAAATTATTGGTGAGTTTGAGTGCTGCAATATAATATTTGAAAAATAGGCTGATTGGTATCTTTCTGATACCCAAGAAGTGAATCTCGTAAAATCTGGTGAGAGATCAGAAGTTTATTTTTCTTCCAAGCCCGTTCTGCCTTCCTACACTGCTGTCTAAGAACATGAGTATTTTTATTAAAGTTTGGTGAGGAATGAAGCGCAGCGGTTTGTTTCTTTGTTTGATTGGTGTGTGTGTGTGTTCGTCTCTGTTGCTATGTGTCCTTCTGCTGGACTTCTTCTGCTCGGATAAACAGAAACAGATCGCAGGCATTTCATTTACCTTCATTAAATGTGGGAAACTGAAAGAAACCGTCTTGAGTGGCTCATTTCAAAAAAACATGGAGACAGACTGATGCTGCTTCACACCGATCG